CTCCCAGCTGGCAAGGCCCTCACGAGGCTCGTACAGGACCAATGACAAAGTATAAGCACATGGCAGTGGACACCGCTATTACTATTAATCTATTATTATTGTTGCTTTTGTTATTGTTATTATTACTACTAGCAGGGCCTCTGGGCCTCAGACCCAGCCCTGAACATGCCCTGGCTGGAAGCCTGGCTCCCAGGTGGGCCCGTCTCACCCCACAGGACTTGGAGCCTTTGGCTTCTGGTTTCCTGAATGTCTGAGGATGTTACAAAAGCTTAAGTTTCGAAGGTTGCTGCCCCTCGGGAGGCAGCACAAGGGAAAAGCTGGTGGGGAGACCAAAGACCAGGGCAGTTCAGGCCTGACTTGCTTTGTGATCCCGCATGAACCATGGCCCTCTCTGGGCCTCAGATAAGGGAGGTGGCCTGGAAGACTCTAAGAGCCTTTCATTTTTTTATCTGATCAGCCAGGGCCTGGAGCTGGGATTCCAGCGTAACCGGCACCTGCAGGGTCCAGTTCAGAATAAGTGGGTGAGAGAGTGGATGCCCACTCGGCCCTGGTGCCCAACTCCTGAAGCCCCTCCCAGACTTAGTTATCAGGAATCCCCATGTCAATCAGAAAGGGAGCCAGATTTTGCAAATAAAAATGTGGGCTGCCAGGTTAATTTGAATTTAAGATAAATAACAAATGATCTTATAGATAAATATACCCTGGTATCACCTGGGACACACTTACACTAAGAAGTTATTCTTCATAGCAGAGGATTTGACTAGACACCTCACCAAAGAAGGCTGACAGATGGCCAAGAGGCACATGAAAAAATGTCCACCCTCTCTTACTATTAGGGTATTGAGGGGACGGGCTAAGGACAGAGCTGCGCAGGGGAGAAAGGCACACGGGAAGGAGGGAGGGAGGCGGAAGCAACTAGAAACACATGATGCCTGAGGCGGGGGTGGGCCGGGAGGGCCTAGGGCCAAATAGGAGATGGAAGGTTTGTCACTCTGCCCCTTTGTACCTTTTAGCTTTTGTACTATGTGGATATTTTATCCAGGCAAAATAAATAAATAAGTAACATAATCAGGCAGTTTGCCCTGACCCAACTCCCGCACCCTTAACCTCTGCATTCTAGAAATACTCCAGGGCTTGTGTTATCCTTATCAAAATTCTTTGAGGTCCATTGACTCCTGTCTCGCCTGTCTGCAGCATCCCCCAGACTGTGGGAGCTGGGTGAGTCACAGCCACCCCCGGCCAGCTGTCTGCCATCTGCAGGCCTTCCTGAGGAAGAGTCCCTTCCAGCTGTGGCCCCAACTCTGCAGACTCTGGGGCCTCTCATCTCCCTTGCCTGCCTCTCCTCTTGAATTCAAATGAAGTCAACTAGATTTTGTTGGGTGTGTCAGGCACTGTGTGTACCAGGAACAAAGTAAACCTGACCAGTCTGGGAGGGAGGGACTAGTAAGCAAGGGGAGAAGGGAGGAGGTGGGTGGGGCTAATTCTGTCCAGGTGTCTGAGGGGACATGGGATTTGGGAAGGCTTCCTGGAAGAGGTTGCATCCTAGCTGAGGTGGGAACAGCATTCTAAGCAGAGAGACCAGCATGAGGTAAGGTCCAGAATCAAAAGAGATGAGGCTGGAAAGGCCAGATATAAAGGATCTGATGGCTTGGGGTGTGGACATGGCTCTGAAGAGGGAGAAGGTTGAATCAGAGTGTGCTCCAGAAAAGCTTACCCTGTGGTTTCCCTGAAGCTTCTCTTGCGGGGCCCATGGAAGCTGGGGCTTAGGCAGTCGTGCCTGCCTGACAGAATGCTGAAAGGAGAGTGTTCTCCTGCGTGAAGAGGGTCTTCGGGCATTTATCAGGTTCTTTGTTGAGTGTGGTGGTGTGGAACGCTCAGTGCCACGTGCAGGGCTGAAGGCAAGACACAGGGGCCATCCCTGGAAGGACTTAAACATGCAGGGGAGCAGACGGGCCTCTCCTCTCGTGGAGGGCAACAGGCCGGCTGCTAACTAAGGGGTCCAGGACCAGTTGCCAAGCTAGTGTGGGAGAGGTCTTTATCCACACTTACAGCTCGTTCTCAATTTTCAGACAAGGCTTCAGGCCCAGAGACAGGCAGGAAATTGTCCAGGTCACACAGTAAGTCCAAGCCAAATCCGGGACCAGAGTGGGGGCCCCTGACCCTCAGCCCAGGCTGGGCACTTAGGCTGGCATCAGAAAAGGCTTCCAGAAGCAGGGATGTGTCAGGCTCACTCACCCCAGGGAGTCAGTCCTTTGGCAGGTAGCAGAGGTGCTATCCGGGAAGGACCCACCTACTTGTAACCTGGGGTGACTGCCCTATTTTGGGCTTAGCTCACAGCAGTCTGATGGGGACTTGGGCAGGAAAGGGCCATCTGAAGCAGGCATCTCATGTCATCCGCCCACTGGAGCTGGGTGCAGGATTCATGCCCGTCTAAGGTAAGTTAACAAATGCCTCCGGGAATGAAGTGATGCAACCAAGGTCTGGGCCGGGACAGCTCAGCCACAGTGCCCTGTGCTGTCTCATGAGGTGACTTGCCCTCAGGAAGCTGACATCTCCCTTCTGGGCATGCCTGACAAGGTGCCTGTAAGCCCACCAGGAACTATCTTCCTAGTTGCCACAAACATGCTCTTAAAGGAGCAGGTAACCCCAAAGGTCCTATCAACCATGTACACTTGAGTATAAATTAGTTGTCAGACCCTGAGACTAGCACTGAATGCAGGGTCCTGCCCAACTGACACACAGGTGAGGAGGGAGGGAGTCTCTGGCAGAGCTGTGCCTTGGGAGAGCCTGGGTAAACGTTCCCCTGAAGCATGTGGGCCCTGAGTCCAGGCATCACTGTGAAGGGTTGTGCCCAGGGGTGGGAGTACATAGTGATACGGGAAAAGCACCGACTATTCAGTTCCAATCTGGGCTCCGCCACTTTTCACCTGAGTGGCCTTAGGTAAGCCTCTCACCTCCCTGAGCCTCCCAACCTCACTTGTGCAATGAGATACTGCTACTGAGTCTACCTTGCAGGTGGGGGTACTTGAGAAAATGCTCTGATCAAGGGTTCTCAAACTTGGGGTGCATCAGAATTCCTTAGAGGGCTCCTTAAAACCCAGATCATGGGTTTCTGCTTTAATTTGTGTGGGGAGGAGTCTATCCAACTAACTAGCTAACTAAAAAACCCCGGCAAGTGTCCAGGAGTTTCTAATGCTGTTCTGTTGAGACCACACTTCTATAAAAATCAGGGGTTCTAGGGCCTCCTTGGTGGCATAAGGGGTTAAGCACAGCACTGTGAAGCTGTCTGCGGCCTCTGCAGCACGAGTTCGATCCCCAGCCAGGGAGCAACCCACATGGCACAGCAGACCTCTCCTATCTCGCCAGTGCTCCCCTCGGCAGTGTATTTTAGTCAGTCTGCCTGTTCTGTTCCCCGCTCTGTCTCTGGTGAATCCTCTCGCACCTGCACCTCTGGCCTGTAGCCCAGTTCTTGTATGCATAAATAAATCTTTGAAAAAAAAATCAGGGGTCTCTATAAAAGCTAGGAAATGGGGGTGGTGCAGGGCTGAGTCCAGAAGGTCGCTAAACAAATCTGGTATTTGCAGCGATTTTGCTCCCCCATCAGGATGGATGGACAGGGTTCGGGATCAGGGCTCTGAGCTCTCTCCAAAGACTGCTCCCACAAATGCAGAAGTCGCCCACTAAATCCACGAGGCAAGTGCTGGCTTATAGACCAGGCCCTCAGCTTAGTACTTCCCATGAGGTGTCTCCTTCTCCCCATGAGCCTCAACACCTCCATTTTACAGGCAAGGAACCCATGGCACCCAGAATAATGGCCTCAAAGATGCCCGTGCCCAGGCCCCAGAAACCAAGAATGTCACCTCACATGGCAGAACAGACTTTGCAGATATCACTTTTCTTTAAAAAAAATTGTGTAAAATACACGTAACGTAAAATAACCACTTTTAAGCCTAGTTCCAGTGATATTAGGTACATTCAGATGCGCCCTCATTTGGGGATCGAGGTTTTATCTCGAAGGTGAAGAAAGTCCAGCTCCTGGCTTCCTCCTTTGCCGGACGTGGAGTAACACTAGCTGGAGACCTCAGCAGCATCGTTAACATGTGCTAACTATGGGCCAGCCTCGGTCCTGGAGAGCTGAGTATTCCCTTATTTACTCGTTTACTCCCTCACGCTGCTATCCTCAGCCCACAGATGGGCTACCCTCAAGGTCACCCCCCTGGCCAGTGGGGTGGGGGCAGGGCTTGAACTCAGGCATTGAGAGCCCCAGACCCTAAGCAGGACTCAAGATGCCTCCCCTGGAGAGAGAGGGAGGCCCAGATGCCCCCAGGGATTCCTGACTGCAGTCCAGGGTCTCAAAACCCGCCCCAAGAATCTGTTGGCGATGAGAGAGCCCCGGAGAAGAGGAAAGTGAGCCAAGAAGGCGCAGCAAGCTGTGTGGGCCCCTCCGCCTGGATTTCAGGCCGTATCCAGTGTCTCCAGAAAGAAAGAACTAGAAGCCACCACCCTAATCCTGAGGCCCCGGGGAAGCACAAGTTCCTGGGAGAAAACAGGTTCCCACAGGCTTTATCCTCCCCCTGTCAACCTCCAGGAGGCTCAGCTGGGGTGAGGAGGAAGAGAGGGTCTGCTCTTATCTTGGGGTGGGGAGGGAGGGCTCCACTTGCACACTCTCAGGCAGAAAAGGCGGGGCTGCTCGGACTCACAGCCCTCACCTCCTCTCCTGGGACACCAAAGACTTGACAGAAGCCGGCAGGACACAGGTCAGGTCTCCAGGCCAGGACCCTCCAGGCCCAGAGCCCAGCTTCTCCCAAATAGAACATTTCCCCAAGCTCTTCCCCTCCCCCTTTCCATAGATCCCAACATGGAGCAAAGAAAGAGCCCTGGATTTGGAGCAAGGAGACCTGAGCCCCCAGGACTCTGGAACTGACTCCAGTGTAATCTTGGATGAGTTCTGTCCCCTCCCTAGGCCTCAAGTTTCAGGCCAATCAAATGAGGGGGCTGGATTCCAAGGTCCCCTCTGCTCCAATGTTCTGAGAGCTAATGGCGGCTATATTTTGGGGCTACCCCCACCTCAGGCTTCTCCGTCTCCCCGGAAGCCTCAGAGACTCCAGGAGGAAGAGGAACCTGAACTAGGTTGGGGACGGGGCTCTGACTTCTGTATTTGCCCTCTGCTAAGCCAAAGTGCCGCCTGTGGGCATGGTGGTTAGCACAGGTAAGGGAGCAGAGGGGAGAACAGGAGCTGGTGGTGGGACAGAGACCTAAGTCCAGTGGGGGGGTGGGGGATTGGGCCTCAGCCACTCTTCTTCCTATCCTAACCCACCCACTCCCTTTAGATTCTGGCACTCAAAGCCAGCCTGGCCATGGAACCGGACGCCAAATGGAGACATCTCAGAATGGGGTGGGATAAGCAATGGGTTGGGAGGTTTATTACTGGGGGAAGGGGTTGCTCCCCTCTTGTCTGTATCTCAGACCCACCTGGGAATACCCTGCAGCCAGGGGGCCCCAAGGACAGAGCAGGGTAAGGAAGCAGGTGGGCCTGCCCCCTATGCAACCCCCCCCCCCGCCCCCGCTCAAGGCCTTACAAGTTCAAGGCCTTACAAGTACAGCGAAGGTCTCCCTCACAGGATCCTCTCAGTTAAAATTCTTTTGAACCAGAAGGGACTCATGGTCACAACTAGACTCTTGGGCCTTGGGGTTGGAAGGATTCTTGGATCAATATTTTGCAAAGTGCAGGTCATGACCCACTAGCGGATCTTGAAAGTAATTTAGTGAGTCACAATCAGAATTTAATAATAATGATGATACAGAGTAGAAGAGATAACATCAGAGTGCAGCCAGGGTAATCAGAGCAAAGTGTCCCCTGAAACTGTTCAATTCTGTGTGTTGTTCAAAATGTGATATATGTGTATCTTCCTTCTGGTCAGTAAAAAACCTTGAAAGATTATGTGCCATACTCGTTTGTTCACCAGCAGGGGAAAGTGAGCTGGCAGGCCAGGCCCTGCCCTTTGGGCCCCACCAACCTGCAGCGCCTGGTCCACACCCAGCTGCATGCTCCAGCCACACCCAGCTGGGGAACCACCTCAACCACTGCATCACCCCTCTTTGCTTCCTCCAAATTCTCCTTCTGTCGACTTGATGCCTGACCCAGCCTTTACCCAAGAAAGCCCTGTTCAAATGACATGCCCTCTGTGGCAGGAGGGAAACCCCTGCCTTTTCAGCAGCCATTACACAGAACTCCACAAATTGGCTGGTTCCCTTGAATGAACAAATGAATGAGCTGCTTCCCAATACCTGGGAGGCACCAGACAGTACGCCCCAGAAGTGAGTGCACAGAGGAAGCCTGGCTCTGGTTTGGACATCCTAATGCATTAAATATTTATTAAATGAACCACCAGGAAAATGCAAACGTCTGGGGTTCGCCTGAGAGTAAACTGCAAGGTGGGAACAATAGGATGGGGGGATGAGAGGTCTGTGGGCCCCAGACTGCAGTGGCTACATATGTCCTGCTAAGGGCTGGGTCCTTTTCCTGCAAGCCCTGGAAAGCCGTGGATGGGGTTACATGGGAGCGATAGGTAGTACCACTCATGGTTTGGAACACTCCTCTGGCACCAGCTTGGGGGTGGGCCCAGCTGGGCAGCTGAGAAAGCCAGTGCAGAAATAACCCAGGCGGGGAGATTTGAGTCTAGAGCCAGTCAAGTGGGGTGCTCTGCTGAGCAGGAATTTGCATTACAGGTGTGAGCGCTGAGGCCCAGCAAGGCTCTGGGATTATGGCCACTCGGCTGCTTTCCTGAGGGTTGGGGGGAAGCAGAGGGAGAGTCCCTCATTCACTCACCCTGCACAGCACAGCAGGTGTGTGTAAGGGGAGCCAAAACACAAACCTCAGCCACTGTTTGCAAGCTCCCCAACTTTGTGCTTTTCTCTTTTTTAAAAATCAGTTTACAGGGCCTCCCTGGTGATGCAAGGGGTTAAGACACAACCTGTGAAGCTGTCCGCAGCCACTGCAGCACAAGTGTGATCCCCCGGCCGGCCAGGGAGCAACCCACATGGAGCAGCAGAACTCTTCTGACTGGCCTGCTGCTCCCCTCAGCAGTGTACTTTGGTCAATCTGCCTGTTCTGTTCCCACACCTCTGGCCTGTACCCCAGCTCTTGTATGCATAAATAAATAAATCTTTAAAAAAAAAAAAAAACCAACAACTTACAGAGGCCTCCCTGGTGGTACAAGGAGTTAAGTCTCAGCACTATGAAGCTATCACCAGTCACCGCAGCATGAGTTCAATCCCTGGCCAGGGCGCTGACCCACATGGTGCAGCAGACCTCTCCTGTCTCACCCGCTGCCCTCCTCAGCAGTGTATTTCGGTAGATCCACCTCTTCTGCTCCCCACTCTGTTTCTGATGAATCCTCTCACCCCCTCCCCACCTCTGGCCTACACCCCAACTCTTCTATGCATACATAAATAAATCTTTTTAAAAAAATTCAGCTCACATTTCAACTGTGGGAGGGAGTGCTGGCTGTCCTGTTGTTCCTGTGGTCTCCTATGAAGGTGAGGAGCTGGCGAGGGTCGCCAAGGGCCATAAAGAGGACATGTAAATTCTGGGTGGAAACTAGAATTGTCAAAAACAAAGCCATGTTATGAAATTTACCTTGCTCTTAACTCCTACCCAGTATCCCAGCCTGAGCCCTGGGGAAGGATTTACAGAAAAGGATTTACAGCCCTCAGGATTTACAGAAAATTGAAGAACTACCTTGCTGATCGGAAAAGCTGCACCTTTGCCCCCTTACACTGGTGAATAGGACCAACCACCTCGGTTCAACTCGGAGTAAGAGTCTGGGCTCAGGTCTCACCCTTAACCCTTGAGGATGTGACCCACTGGGAACAACTATTTAAGGACCCACTGTAGGGTAAGGTAAAAAATCAGGCTTTTCTGCCCTCCTGCCATGAGGATAGATGAGGGAACCCTGTGATCCTGAATGCATGCCTGATGGCGAGCACCTGAAGTGGGTACACCTGTGCTAAGACTGTGCTTTCAAGGGCGGTGTCACGCAGACGCCGGTAGAAGCCAAAAAAGAAGCAGCCAGCAGCAGAAGCCGAAAGAGAAGCCAAGAGAGAAGCAAAGAAGCAGAAGCAGAAGCAGAGAATACCAGTGAGCCCAGATAGAATGAAGACTCGCTGGGGGCTGCGAGGCCTGCCAGCCTCCCGGGGCCCCCCAGCATCCCTGCCTGCCATATGCCTGGTGAACCCCAATAAAAGCCCTGCAAAACCACTGAGGACTCTGACTCCTCCTTTACCCGGTCTGCATGGGATCAGAAAACCTGCACTGTGGTCATTCCTGACCTTACACCCACAAACCAGGCTACCCAAGGCTTCTAAAAAGTGCTAACTTACATGAACACATTGAAAGTGGCCACAACCCACTTCCTCTGTGCCTACTTTACAGATGAGGAAACTGAGGCACAGAAAAACGACACACCTTGCCCACAGTTCCCAAAGCCAGTAGCAACCCAGTTAGATTCGAATCCCGGCCGCGTGGCTCTGGCGTGTGGGCTCTTGCTGAACCACACCTCGCAACCTGGCGTCAGCAGATTAATTTCGTAGACGCTGAGCTCCATGCCAGGCACTGGCAGGGCCCAGTGAGCGCGCCGTCCTGCACGAGGCAGGTTCTCCTCCTACCCACCCACACCCCTTGCTTTTGGGTGGCCCCGCATTCCACCTCTCCCCCCCAAAAAAAACTTCAGTAGAGTTTTTGGCCCCCAAACTTCAGCCCACCGAGCGGGCTGCGGGGGAGGGGCACAGCTCCCCGCCGGGGATGGGAGGGGCGCAGGTGCACGGGCCCGGAGTGGGGGTCGTGCGTTCAGGGGTTCCCGCGCCCCCAGACGGGAGCCAGCACCCAGGGCGGGCTCCGGGGACGGCGAGACGGGGCGAGGCCGCGCTTCCCGGCAGGAAGGCGCTGGGGACGCGGCCTTGGAAGGGTGCCCCCGGCGGGCCGGCCGCGGCGAGGGGCGGGCGGGCGCACGCGGGTGACGACACCCAGGCGCACGCTCGGCGCTCACCGTATATGGACAGGCTTGGCGAAGGGGCGTGGCCGGGCGCTGCGCGGGGGCGTGGCCGGGGTGTGGGCGTGGCCAGGGCGGGGCGTGCCACCCTGCGGCTCCCGCCCCGAGGCCCGGCTGTGTCTCCCGGGGAGAATTTTTTGCAAGGGCGGACCCTCTGCAGGGCTCCCCCCAGGTCCCCAGAGACCTCTTCGGGCATCTCCGCTCCCGCACCCCTCTCCAGGCTGAGGCCCGCGCCAGCCCCGCTGTGCAGGGGCTGCACTTGACTGGGTTCCCTTGCGAGCGAGGGCAGCGCGCTGCTTTCGGGGGGCACGCTGCTGCACCCGCCTGGGTAGCTGGGGGAGGGGCACCTTGCGGGCTGGTGGTGAGCTTTGCTGGACCCGGCCTTGCTCAATGGGGCGTTCATGCAAGTATTTGGTTGACTGAACTCTTGGTGGGACACGACTTTAGCCTCTTGGGTGGGAGGGTCCAGCGTCAGAACACACTGGTCACCTGGACTCTGGCCTCCCTCCAAGCTCCTCTCCTCACAGACCAGACCCTTTTGAAATTGCTCTTATTTGAAAGGATCTTTTAAAATGAATTTTTTTTAAAGGATCTCTTTTTTAAAAAGTGCTATCTCTACTCCATCCCTTAAAGTCCTACACAGGGCCTCCCTGGTGGCGCAAGAGGTTGGGGCGCAACCTATGAAGCTGTCCGCAGCCACTGCAGCGAGAGTTCGATCCCCGGCCAGCCAGGGAGAAACCCACATGGCGCAGCAGACCTCTCCTGCCTCGCCCGCTGCTCCCCTCAGCAGTGTATTTCAGTCAGTCTGCCTGGTCTGTTCCCTGCTCTGTCTCTGGTGGATCCTCCTACCCCCCACGCCTCTGGCCTGTACCCTGGTTCTTTTATGCATAAATAAATAAATCTTAAAAATAAATAAAAAAAAGTCCCACACAGCCTCCCAGTTACCTACAGGAAGCGTCAGCCCTCAAGCTCAGTACACAGAGGGCCGTGAACTTGCAGTTCCCTGGAGACATCATGCTGTTCCATGCTTCCTAACCTTTGAATCTGTGCTCCCTCCTGGAAAGCCTTCCCTCCCATGCCCTCTGCCATATGTTCATGCTGTAATAAGACACCTCCTGATGTCTTCTCCCCGATTTCTCCACTGGCTAGTTAATCTTCCTGAGCCTCAGTATCTTCATCAGCCAAACGGGCATAAGATCACCCCCTCTCACTGTGTTGTCGTGAGGGTCCTACGAGTTCATGACCCAACAGTGCCCAAGACAGACCTTGGCACACAGTAGCTGCCCCTGAAAATTTGTGGTGGAACAAATCCATCCTTTCTCACAGTCCTGTGAGGGTGTGGGGAAGAGGGGTACAAGAGCACTTGAGGGGCACAGGCCTGGCTGGGAGCTCAGCTCTGTGTGACACAGATTCGGGCCCCTATGCTGGGCTGCTCCCGGTACCCAGATGGAGAGGAGAGGGCCAGTCCCCGTCTAGGGCTGGCAGCCTGGAGATGGACAGGCGTCCGGTTGATGGGCAGCTGGAGAAGAGAGTGAGGCCCCCTCTGGACTCCTTTAGAAGCATCTCTCCCCCCACAGCCCTGCCAGCCTCAGTCAAGACCAACCCCAGGACTGGCAGTTTCTGAAGAGCTGCCTCCTACCTTGGCCACTCCCCAGCTTGGCCTCCAGCCCACCCACTCTGTCAGCCAGAGACTGAGGGGTAGGAGGGCTGGACTCTCATGTCTCCTGCTCCGGGGCTCATGACCTGGGAGAGCAGAGTTCTGGAAAATGTGGCCTCCGGAGAGGAGACCTCAGAGGCCCAGCATGCCCCAGGGAGTGAGGGTGTGAAGCTGGGCCTCACGTGCACACACGGCCTCACCTTCCCAGGCTGCCCGCCTGAGCAAACCCAGCTCCCGCCCACCAGCCTCGTAGCCCTGGGCCACTGTCCAAGGGGCTGGCTTCTCCATGCGTTCCTCAGAGCCCATGGGACCAGCGCCCAGGCAGGGAGGCCTGGGCCTGGCCCAGCAGGGCCTGCTGCTCTCTCTTTGCTGAGGAGGAGGTGCCTGGCCTTCTGGCCCGAGAGCTGCCTTCCTGAAGCAGCCTGGCTGCGGCTCAGTGGTTGGGACTAAGTGCTGAGCAAACACCCAACCCACTGGGCAGACAGGCCCCACAGCAGCCAGCACCAAGTCATTCCTGGGCCTGCTGGTTACTCAGCAGTGCAAGCAAGTGCAGGCAGGGGATGGAGGACCTGTCCTGGGGCCAGGGACTTGGCAGGGAGAGAGGGTGACTTCTTGCCCCCTCCGCTCCTTTAGCCTCAAGTTCCCTGCCAGCCTCAGTCAGGAGCAACCCCAGGGAACAGTGGGAGCCAGAACTTCTCTGGTTCTCTCCTCTTGTGTCCTGGTTGACCTCCAGGCAAGGCCTCTACCCTCTCTGGGCTTCCAAATCCCTCTGTTGGCCCAGCCTTGGTAGCTTCCTGCCCTTTTCTGTGAGAGGCAACCACTAAGGGAGAGAATGTGGGACAACCACTATGTCCACTTCACATGGGGGGACACGGTGGCTCGGGACACAGAGCAGTGCCCACTGTCACAAGGGATGTGGTAAAGGTGCTGCTGCTTGGCCAGCCCCCCTGGTGAGAAAAGAGGGGCTTTGCAATGGTGACTGGGCTCTGGGTGTAGGGGGGTGGCCAGACCAGGCACAGGGTCTGGCATGGAACATTCCTCATCCATTCATCTGGCAGATTCGTGTGCCTTCCTTTGTGCTGGGTGCCCTGGTACAGCTAGGCACTTGGGAGGGTGTGTAAGGAAGAGGTGCAATAGGATGGGTTTAGAGTGGATTGTACTCCTAGGAAGTGCATTTTCTCAAGTAGTGTTGGGTCCCCGGCATCAGAATCACAAGGGCATTAGGAAGGCACACTCCCAGGTTCCACCCCAAGCCCAGGTCCCTATATAAATGCTTGGTTTGGACTGAGAATCTCATAAACTCCACTAATGGGTGGTTGTGGAAATGCAGTGAGTTGCTGCTTTGGGTTGATGGTAAAGCCATAAGGGGTCGGGGTGGGGTGAAGGGCAGGGCCTGGAGCAAGTCTGCGGCATTTACATGCTGACTCTGACCCCGTCTGGCTGTGCGACCTGGAGTCATAACTACAGCCTTCTGTGCCTCAATTTCCTCACCCCTGAACAGGAGCTGATTCAGAGCACCTACGCCCCAGGGCTGTATGAGCAGCAGAGGAGTTAATATACCTATACCGAGTGTCTCGACAGTGCCCCAACCTCCGTATGCTCAGTTCTTGTTATTAAGCAACAGGCTGTGATGGCTGATTTCGGTCCCCCACTGCCTCCCAAATTCACCTGCTGAAGCCCTAATTGCCAGGACCTCAGAATGTGACTGCCTTTGGAAACTGGCCCTTTAGAGAGGTGACGAAGTTAAAATGAGCCCATGCGGTGGCCCCGAGGTGGGGAGGAGGATGACAGAGAGCCTCAGGTTGCTGCTCTCTGCCTGAGGACAAGGGTCTGCTGACCCTCCTGGGGGCAGTAGCTGGCAAAGGGGGAGGGATGGAATGCATCGGAGGGGCTACCCAGTCCATTTCCAGGGTGTGTCTTGGGCACATCATATCACCTCTGGGGCCTCGGCTCCTCAGCTGTGAAATGGGAGTGTTAATCGCTACTGCAGGTGGACGTTGAAAGGGTTAGGTTTGGGGGAGCATCGGGCAATGGAGCACAAAGGGGAAGTCAAGACTGGACTGTCTCCTGGCTGGGAGGTTTAGGAAGGCAGCCGACCAGAGAAAGACAGCTACTTGCCTGTGGTCACCTGACCTAGAGAACAGAGGGCCTGGCCCCTGGGGAGTCCCAGCGGACATTCTCTAAGGGTGAGGTCACACCTTTAGCTCCCAGGAGCCTGCGCCTCGGGCATCACTGAACAGCTACAGAGCAGGAGTGGGTGTGGAGGCCGGGACACAGTGACAAATGTCAGGCCCACAGCCTGTGCAGCAATGGGCCCTCTTTTTGTGGGGTGCTGGGGCCCTTATCTCGGGAAGCCTGGTGTTTCCTGTTTAAGACGGAGCTTAGGGTGAGGGGAAGCTCTGGAGAGGGGGAAAGCAAAGCGATGGCTATGTCTCCAGCTCCCACGAGGTACTAGAAGCTTCTCCATGCTTTGGTGTTTAATCCTCAGGATGACCTATGGGCCACTGTTATAAACCCTAGTTACAGAGGGAGCAAGTGAGGCTCGATATGGTCCAAAACCTTGCCCCTAGGGGAAGGCAGTATAGCGACATGGAGTCTTCGGCACCAAACCGCTCTGACACCTGTTAATGCAGTGACTCAAGCTCTGAGTCTCAGTTTCCTCATCTGGGAAGTGTTAACAGTGACAATCTGGCTTGTGGGCCTGTTGTGGCGGCTCAGTGAGCTGATACGTGGGACATGCTCTCAGCGGGTCTTGCCACCAGGTTACCTACGTGACAGCTCGGCCTCAGAATAGGGAAGCACCTTGCCACACACCTCCTAGGTGGCAAGGTCAGGACTTAAACCTAGACAGTGTCCCTGCCCCACCTGCACCACTGTGGAGTGGCCCGCGGTGACCCCCAGCGTCCCAAAGGCTGTCGGGAGGTGGCAGGAGAGGTGAGGCTTCTTGGAACAAGCGGTGGCCCAGATTTCCGGCAGTCGTGGAGGCCAGGCCTGGAGCCGGGGTTCAGGGTCACGCCTGCCGCTGGTGTTCCGGGCAGCAGAGAGGAACTGTGGCAGCATGCCCGGAAGTCTGGCTGGAGGTGCAGGTCCAGTCACGGCCAGCGGGGCCCCTACATTGTTCTCTGGGCCCCCCAGCCTAGGGCCCACTGTAGCGATTTCCGGCAGCCTGGCCAGAGCGACCTGCACTTTCCAGAGCAGCTTTCCCCAGGCGAGGCGGCTGGGCCGGGCTGGGCTGGGCTGGGCTGACCTCCCCTCGTCCCGGGCGGGGACTGCTGTGAAGGCCACTGGCGACAGCACCATCAACATCCTACCGCCCCGGAGGGTCTTGGCCCCAAAGACCACCCTCCCCACCCCTCTCCTGTGCCCAGGATTCATTTTCATTTTAGGGCTACCTGGGCAAGTCAAACCTCTGTGTCCGTAGGATGAGATTGGATCATACCTGAGGTCCCTCTAACGTTGATTCAGGAGCGGCCCACAGGCCCTCGCTCTGCTGCTGTCTGGTGGCAAAAGCTCTTGGGTGGACAGTCAGTTTCCCTCTTGTGTTCCTTAAAGGAAACCCATGTCAGTGACCGACATTCACTCATCCCAAAGCTTCCAAGACCTGCTGAGCTTTGGTGCTGAGCCTTTCCACCTGGAGTGGCGTCTCAGCCCTTCTGCTCTGTGCTCAGCCTCCTCATCTGGGAAATGGGAAGCACTGGCCTGGCCAGGGGTGTGGGGACTACAGGAGACACCCCCAGGGAAGGACACGACCCCTGCCTTCCAGACTTATCCTGCGTACAAATGCAGAGGCCACACCCTGGGCTTTGGGGCAGAGGTGCTGCCGGAGGCCAGGCCTCTTTCGCAACTTCCTGCAGGTGTCTATGCTTGGGAGGAGGCCCCTGCCCCCGGCAGCCTCACCAGGCCTGCAGCCACACCACCAAGCCCTCTGCCACAGGCGGAGAGCCCCAGTAGGTGCCCAGAGCTGGCAGCATCCCTGGTGAGGTCAGCGCCATGGAATTAGTCAAATAGAATCACCCTAAGGATTCTGTGTGGGCAGCCAGTGACTCACGCTACCTGGAGAGGCCAACCTGGCACTGGTACAGCCACTGCTGTCTGCACACCTCAGCGCACCTTGGAAGGACAGGAGAGTGTGGGGCAGCGCAGGGGCCTCTGACAGCCCTCTGCACAACTCCCAAGGGCGGGGAGGCCAGACCCCCACCTGGGCTCAAATCTGGCACCCACTTTTAGGCATGACCTTGGGCAAGTCAATTTCTCAGAACTGGTTTCTTCAATTTGTAATATGGCCGTAATAATCCTTGCCTCATAAGAGAGGAATTAAATGAGGTCATGTGTGTAGAAAGTGCTTGGCAAAGGGCACCTTTTAAGGAGTGGCAGTGGGGTACAGGAGAAAGGGCCCGGCTGGGGAGGCAGGTTGCCCCAGCTCTGGATCCCGGCCCCACGCACTGGGCTTCTTTGAGTTACTCAGCCTCTGCATCCTGACTCTTCTGTAAAAGGAGCTGCTGACGCTGCCTGCCTGCCTGCCTGCTGGGCCGGTGCGGGCTCGCGGCTGCACTCCGTTTTATGGAGGACGGGGAGGCTTAGCAGCAGGGGCCAGCAGCCTGCCCGGCCCCGAACCCCCGCCCAGGTGTCTGTGGGCTTCCTGGTGGTGCACAAGGAGTCGACCTGTCTGATGGGGTCTCCTGTAAAGGGCAGGGGGATGCCGACGCCTGCCTCCTGGGCTGCTGTGGGGCGACGGGCTGAGATGGCGCCTGGCACCAGAGGGCCGAGCTCTGGCTGCTGGTATCCATCCTCCTCTAGGCGTTGGCCTTTGTCCACTGTGGTGCCTGCGGGCTATTTCCCTCTGCGTGCCTCTGCCCCTTTCTGCTGTGGCCTTCACGGCCGGCCACAGGCCCCACCTTCCAGTTCTGTGAGCAGTCTTCCCAAGGCTGTCTTGGGAGCCCCCCAAGACCCCAGGATAAATAAGACCCCTCCAGCAGGAATCGGCGGGCCCCCAAGGACAATGCACATGGCAGACAAAACACCCCGGGCCCAGGCTCAGTGGCAGGAGCCACCTGTCCACTCCTCCCTGGCGGAGGGAGCTAGAGGCAGACTGAGGCCAGGGGCCAGCACACACAGGGGGACGCCCGCTGCCTCGGGGGGCCCATGCGCACAGGAGGAAGCCCCAGCAGGCTCAGCTGTTAAGAGCCCAGCTTCAGAGGCAGCTGTGTCAGTGCAGGAAAGCCTGGGCCTCAGCGTCCATATCTGTGCACGGGGACACTCCCGCCTCACCAGCGTGAGGGTGTGCCGAGGACACCGCCGCACTGGTCACACGAGGGGCTGGTCAAGGGTGAGGGTGGCAGTCAGAGGAAGGAGACCAGCAGGCCAGCCTGGGAAAGGGCCGCCAATGCCCCCGGAGCCCAGACAGAACCCAAGCTGTTGACAGTGCAAGCCCCAGTTTTATTGGCTTGTTCACAGTTAAGCCTCCTGCTCAGAAACCAAAGAGCCACTAGTGGGGTGGGGGTGGTGTCTGGGGGGGCTCCCCCACCCCCAGCGAGTGTTCGCCGCCCTGGCCCTGGGAGGAGAGGAGGGAGGCGGACCCTTGGGGCGGGTGGCTAGAGTCACTTAGTGTGGGGCCCAGGGCCTGTTCTTCACAGCAGGAGTAGGAGGGTCACATAAAGTTCTTTATTATACACCTACAAAAAATGAGAGAATTATATATTACTCTCGCGGCTCTGGGTTCCTTGTTTCCTTCTCTTTTTACAAAACGGCAACAGGAAAGAAAAATGCAGGAGGCCGATGAGCCAGGCTGGGAGCTGGGAGAGGACTGAGCCATCCCGCCGGGACAGCACCGGCACCGCTCGGCAGCCCGGCACTCCCCCAGCAGCCTGGGCGGGAGGTGACAGCCCTGAGGGGCAGAGAAGGGGGAAGACGGCTGTCCCCAGCGAGCAGCAGCACCAGGCCCTCGGCAGCCACCCTGCAGCTGCGGGCGGGACGCGAGGCTCCCAGGTTTGGAGCCTGGTCTCCTCAACGCCGGCCCCCCGGGGCAGCAGGAAGGAAGGGGCCGAGTTCTAGCAGGATCCCCCAGGGGCTGCGGGTCTGGAGGGTCAGGGCCCTCAGGACTCTTCCCTGCTCGTCAGTCAATCAGCTTCTTCAGGAAGGCTTCCAGCTGGTCCTCGTCCTTGATGCCCACAAACTTGTCCACCACGTCCCCATTCTTGATGGCCAGCACGGTGGGCACGGCCGACACCTAGGCGAAAGGCACAGCGAGGCCCGGTCACTCGGAGGCAGACTCCTCAAGCGCCATTCCTGAGCCTCTGTGGGCAGGCCAGTGACTGCCCACAGACACAGACGGGCCCCGCCTCGTGCGGGGGCACTGCAGAGCCCGGGTACCCCCAGTGGCGAGCTTTCCATTGTGGGCTCCCGGCAGAACCCTCCATCCCCCAGCCCGGCTGACTCACTGGCCGGGTGGTTTGGCTGGGATGACAGGCGAGATGAAAATAACCCTTGCAGCTGCAGGCCGGGCTGGGCGGGGAGCAGCGAGGGGGAGGGGCCGGGAGAAGGTCCCTGAGGGGCAGCCTGGCCCCAGGGAGAGCCCGCGGAGGCGAGTCTGAGTCCTGGCCTTGCACTCCTGAGCTGGGGGCCTCGGCCAGGTCATACCACTTTTGGGCCCTCAATTCCCTCTGTCGTAAAATGGGGGTGAGTTTCTACCTCAAGGGGTCAGCACAGAGCTTAGAGACGCACACAGGAAGCGGAGGGGTGGGGTGCAGGTTACTTATGGGGGCAAGGGGTGTTGGAGGCAACCTTCTTGGCCCCTGAAGCATTCGCTCAAGCTCCCTCAGGGACAAGTCTAGATGACCTGGTATATCAACAAGGCCCACAGCCGCTCTGGCATCCAGCCTTCCCTGCAGCCTGGGCTCCCTGCCTGGCATTTGGAAAAAATATATAAACAGAGCAAGATAAACACGAGACTTTTCTTACATACAAGTTAGCTACAAGGAACAGCAGTGATTTACACAAACATAACAGGTCTTCCACGCCGAGCGCGGTCCTGCCTGAGTCATCTCGGGAAGCCACACTGGATTTAGAAAGTTCCAACTGCACACGTCAGCTGCGGAACCGAGAAAGAAGCGGGCTACCTCGAATCTCCAGCGGGTGCCATCTCTCCCTCACTGGCCCCTTGCCTCCTTCCCACTGGCTTCCGGGACAAACCTGGTAGGCAAGGTGACATAATCCCTGGCCTTGTTAGTGCTGCAGGCCCCGGGACTGGCCAGCGGCTGACACACTTCCCAGAGGGCACGCGCAGGCAGACTCATCTGGCCCCTCCTGATATATGAGCCATATATCTGGCTCCTGTCCTTGTCCCCTCTGGCAGGAGAGTTGGCATGAAGTGCCATCACCAGGCTCATCCGCTGTCCAGGCTGGGAAACTTGCCCCCCAGGAAGCACCAGGCTTGGGGCTGCTGGGCTGTTACTTTGCGCCCCCTACTGGCCTGTGCAGGCAGTTGGGTGCCTCCCACCTGACAGGTCGGGCACAGGCACGAACTGCCAGGTTCTGCATTTACTGGTTTCCATCCCGTCTTGCTTCAGTAACTGAAATAAGGGCTGTGTGTCACGGCACAAGTGGCCTAAGGGTTTCATGCCCATGATCGGGACCCGAGGCTCCCTGAGGTGGCTGCTGGGCAGTCTTCCTCAAGAACGGACGCGCCCGCCAGGCACCCGTGTGCCCATCCGCAGACCGCACCACTGTGCAGGCTCAGCGGACCCGCCACATCCCATCTCGCGGGACCATCAAGTCAGCGCTGACCAGAGCGTCCTCGGAAGCTCGAGCCTGAATGCAAACTTGCCAGGGGCCAGGGCTCCAGGACACTGCAGGGACACCTCAGCTGTGACTGGACTTCTCCCCCGAGGCGTGCTGACCCTGAGTCTGGCTCATATATCAGGAGGGGCTGGGCTGTAAACATTGCCTTAAATGGAAGCGCACTGGGCCCTGGCAGTCTTCTGGAAGGTTGATAAGAGGCGCAGCGGGGAAGAAAGATTTAAGCTTCCCTCTTGATTCTGGCTGTACTGAGAACGGAGGCGGAGGGAAGAAGAGATGTACTGAGATGGGCCACCTGGCCTGCTGTGCGTGGCCACCTAGAGCCTCCTGCCCCTGGGCTAGAGACCCTGAGCTCAGGGCCGGGGGGTGTATGTGTGTAGTCCCTATCATGACCACCCTCTGCTTCCCTGCCACGTCTTCTGTCTTACCCCACCTCACCTGTCTGTGAACTATTAATGGCTTACTAGGGGGGAGGGGGGGCAGAATGTGAGGCATCACCGAGGCAACACCCCTCCTCCTTGGCTAACTGCACAAAGTGGGTGCTTTGTCAGCCTCAGGGACCACACCAGATACTACGCCCTGCTATGCTAGTGCACTGATTCTTGTCCCAAGGCGGGGTCATTTCAGAGCTGTGAAGACAGAGGCGCAAAGACTCAGTGACCACGACGCAGAGCTGGGATCTGAGGTGTGCCCAGTTTCACTGCCTGAGACCTCACACCCCGCCGCGTCTCCGCCCGAGAAGGGAGAACACAGGGCAGTACTCAAAGGATTTCACACTTCAAGTGAGAAATGCTCGAAGCTCTGTGAAAGCGTTTTCACTGAGAAAACCAGACCCAACTACAAGACACGCTGGAAAAGGCAAAACAGTAGAGACCAGCAGTCCTGGATTTGGGAGGGAGCAGGCGGAACGCGGGAGCTCGGGGCCGCTCCGTGTCCTCCACAATTGTCTGGGAGGTCGTGTGTGCATTAAAAAGAACAAAATCCTCAACCGAAAGTCCTCAACAAGTCACCCCAAATATCAGTGGTGGTTGTGTTGGGTGGTGACAAATGACCTTCCTCCTTATCATTATGTGGCCGTTTTCCTAATGCTTTTTATTTATATTCTTAAAAAAATATTTTATTTATGCATATAAGAGCTGGGGTACAGGCCAGAGGTGTGGGGGCTGACCTCTTCACCAGAGACAGTGGGAGCAGAATAGGCAGACAGAATTCAGATTTTTCTTTTTTGGCTTGGACTGATGGGCTCTATTCCAGAAAGGACCTTTGCCACACTGGGCAATACCTGGTCACTGACTGTTGTTTCTCCTGCACACACTGGAATAAAACTATCTTCTAAGGTTGCCCCCTGAGATACGTGCCCCATAGATATGGTGGAATAAAATTTTAAAAGGTGGGATTGTAGCAGAGTGGTTGCCCAAAAAGGGAAGGTTCCAGGTTCCCTGCCCCATCCAAGGGTAGGGTGGCGCTGAGCCACTGCTGCACCACGTGGGTCAGCTCCCTGGCCGGGGATCGAACTTGTGCCACAGTGGTTGCTGATAGCTTCATAGCACTGACATAATTAACCCCGTGCAGTGCCAAGGGCCACTAATCCCTCCTAATGCTTTTTAAAAGGTCTGTGGTTCTTCTATAAGATGAGGACAGCTCCAAGCGCGAGGTCAGAAGCAGAAGTGCCAAAGGAAGCAGGAAGGCACAAGGCCCATAGCCTGTTGTTGCCCTCGGCTGGCAAGCTCAGCCCCGGAAGAGCCTAGCCAGCCTGCAGGGACTCCAGTGTCTTGCCCTGTCAACCAGGCAGAGGCCCGGCACCTGGAGCCTTTGGGTGACAGTGACATTCCAGGTGGGCGGCTGAGTGAAGTAAACCAAGTGTGGGGCAAGGGGAGCAGAGCCTGGGTGAGGAAGGGGACTCACCCCTAGGGTGTGTGCTAGGGTGCCAGGATTGCTCAGGAAAAGCGCCTCCTTCCCTGAATAGCTTAGAGCAGTCTCTGCAACAAGTTTATCCAACATTTGGAAAAGGACTTTAGACCTCAGAGGAAGCTGTCCCAGGGGGCACAGGAACTCCTTCCACAGGCGTGCTTCCAAAAGCACAGGTGTGAAGGAAGGAAGCAAAGGGATGGGGAGGGTCCCTGTGGAGCTTCCTGAGCCTGTGAGGACGTCAGCCCTAGCTTGGAAAAACAGGAGGTTGGGATCAAGTGGCATGCGCCAGCAGCCTTGAGGTCTTTCTGTGTGACCTCTGCGCTATCTGGACAGTGGACAGAGTGAGAAGAGAGAAGCTCCTGTTACCTCTCCCTTTCCAGGCTGCAGCAGGACTTTGGTGCCCACCCCGTCCACATGGGCATAGCTGCCAGGAACTGGGCTATTCTTCTTTGCGTCCGCACCAGCGAGCACAGTTCCTGGCATGGGCTTGGCACTCAAGATGTGTTTGTTACAAATCTTGGCTGAGGTTGAAGCTGCCTCCTGGCAGTGCCAGGAGAAAGGCTGCCCAGGGGATGGCTGGGGCGCCAGCCCCAGCTTGCACCAGACAACCATGCCTTCCCTCCAGGGAGAGATGGACGAGTAAAGGAAAGCTAGGGGTGTCTGGATGGTCAGGTAAGTGTCCCCTGACCAAGTGATCAGTGGGGAAGCTTTTGGAAGAAAACCAGTGACTCGTCCCTCCCCTTGAGCGCTTGCAGCAGCCCTCGGCCACAACCGCCAGGACAGTCAGTGATGTGCCCCCACCAATGGCAGCAGCCCCTGGCAGCTCTGTACCCAGCACGTACTTCCTGTGCTGCTGCTCAGCGCAGCCCAGTCTCCTTCAAGGGGCCACTCCCAGCCCTAGTCAGGGGCAACTAGTCCTATTCTCACCCTGCCCGCCTGGCTGGCCATGGGTATCTCTGCTCAAGGGGTCTAGGGAGTTGAGCCACACTTCCAAACTCTGAGAAGGAAAGTGTGTTCACTCAGCAGCTTGTGGGCCCCTCTGTGTGTCATTATTATTCAGAAGGAGGCAGAGGTCAAGGCTCATACTGGCCAGATTCAGGCATTTCAAAAGACCTATAAACCTGAATTTTCATGTACCATGAGCATCTATTTCAGTTTTTATTTTTTTTTTTAAAGATTTATTTTATTTATACAAGAGCTGGGGTACAGGCCAGAGGCGCAGGGAGGGAAGGCGGTGAGAGGATTCACCAGAGACAGAGTGGGGAACAGAACAGGTGGATTGACTGAAATACACTGCTGAGGGGAGCAGCGGGGAGACAGGAGAGGTCTGCCTCGCCATGTGAGAATCTCCTGGCCAGCCGGGAATTGAACCCGTGCTGCAGAGGCTGTGGACAGCTTCACAGTGCTGAAGCTCAACCCGCTGTGCCACCGGGGCAGTTCAGTTTTTAAAAATCAACACTTGGGGGTCTCCCTGGTGGCCTAGGGGTTAAATCTCAGCACTACCATCATGACAGCCTGAGTTCAATCCCCAGCCGGGGGGCTGACCCACATGGTGCAGCAGACCTCTCCTGTCTCGCCTGCTGCTCTCCTCAGCAGTGTGTTTTAGTAGATCTGCCTGTTCTGCTCCCGACTCTGTCTCTGGTGAATCCTCTCACCCCCACATCTCTGACCTACACCGCAGCTTTTGTATGCATAAATAAATATATCTTTAAAAACAGAAAAACAAAACAAAAAAAACCCCTGGAAACTCAGGGCCTCCCTGGTGGCACAGGAGGTTGGGATGCAACCTATGAGGCTGTCCGCAGCCACTGCAGCACAAGTTCAATCCCTGGCCAGGGAGCAACCCACATGGCATGGCAGACCTCTCCTGACTTACCCGCTGCTCCCCTCAGCAGTGTATTTCAGTCAATTGACATTTTCTGTTCCCCACTCTGTCTCTGGTGACTCCTCTCACCTCCAACGTCTCTGGCCTGTACCCCAGTTCTTGTATGCATAAATAAATAAATCTTAAAAAAAAAAATAAAAAAAGGAAACTCCCCCCACTTCCATTTTAGCATTCCCATCCTTCTTCCTGATTTTTTTCCTCCACGGCACTTGCTATCTAAAATAGGGGCCAGCCAGCCCATTGCCTGTTTCTGTAAATAAAATTTTATTGGCTCAAGGCAACCCACTTATTTACATACTGTCTGTGGCTGCTTTCCTTAAGTATTTGCAACAGAGACCAATCCCTGCAAAGCCTCAAATATTTACCACCTGGTCCTTTAGAGAAAAAGTTGTGACAGCCTCCCTCCCCCCACCAAAATACTAGAATGTGTGCTCCACGAGGGCAGGGATGTTGTCAATTCTGTTCACCGTCAGCCTCAGCACCATGTGACTGCAGCTGGCATCTAAGGGACTCTCAGTGAATAGCTACAGCATGAATGTACGCACAACCCAATATACCTGACCACCTTTCTGACTGGTGTCCCTCCTCTTAGCCCATCCTTCCTTCTTCCCTTCCTTCCATGCCCCCCTCACGGCTCAGCCCAGAGAGGCCCTCTAATGCAAAGCCTGAATAGCAGTCTTTCTTCCTTTGTACATCTGATCTCTCAGCAATTCTCACCCTACGTTCAAATGATCTAACGACTAACTACCTTTAGTTCTCCACGCTGACATCAGCACGAAGGCCTGGAGGGAACAGGGGTGAACCGTGCAGCCTTGTGGGGACCAGGAGCTCATCTAATCGGTGCATGACTCATGAATGCCTGGCACTGTGGGGCCCACAAGCTGCTGAGTGAACACGTGAGGGATGAAAGCTGAATGGAGGGACACACCACTTCCTGAGGTTCCCAGACCCCTGGTGTTATGGTTTCTGCCCCACTTCCTAAGCGTGACGGAGGAGAGACAAGGGACTCAGAGGCTCAAGGGAGGCACATCTGCAAAGTTCACTGAGCTCCTGAAAGCTCTAGAAAAATCAAGACACCATTCTTACTGGCTACCTGCTGGTCCCCAGGACATCAACCCCACTGGCTATCCGGTGGCCCTGCGGCCCCCGTGGGTGCCAGCTGCCCCATGGCAGTGCCCTACCAATCCATACCTCATACTCTATGGCGAGGTCTGTGTGGTCGTCAATGTCCACCTTGGCCATCACCACCTTCCCTTGCTGCTTGGCCACCATCTTCTCCAACCTTGGCCCCAGGATTTTGCAGGGGCCACACCACCTTGGAAGGAAGAAAGGAAGCATCCAGTTGCAAGAATGCACGCCACTCGATCAACTGTCTCCCTGGACGCTTCCCTGGACCCACATCTTTCGGAGGGAACTTTTGCTCTTATCTCTGTTGACAATGTCTAAATATTAACCTGTAATGCTGATGTGCAAAAAGGTAGTGCCAGAAGACTTTGCAACTGAGCTGCTTTCACAAGTCTGGGACGCCAAAAACACTGTTGTAAAACTCTTATAACGGTTATTTCATGTATTTCAATGTATCTCCAAAAATACACTACCATACAGAATATGGGATGTGATGTTAAAAGGCTTGGGTTTAAAGAGAGGTTCCTCGCTGACCCACCGACATTCTGGAGCCCCAGCTTCCTCATCTGAGAAAGTGAGGCTGTGCCTTCAAGGCTGCAAGAGGTCAGCTGCAGCCTGCGGGGGTGAGCATTTGGGGGCTGCAGTCACTCCAAACACCTCTGGGACACAGAGTAAGTGGAGTGGAAACCGGTGGCTTGGGAGCATCTACAACGTGCCAGTCCCTGTGCCAGGACCCTCTCAGCTCTTAGTGCATTGAACCCTCCCCCCTGAGAAGGAAAAGAAAATTCCTTCCTAAGAAACTGAGTGCGCTGAGTTAAGGAACATGCGCAAGGTCGCCAGCCAGAAGGGTTTGCAACCCACGGCTGTGTCCAAGTGTCTTCTTCAGCCCCAGGGTGCTGTGTCCTGGCCTTGGTGATACCTGCTCTCACTGCACTGAACACAGGGTGGCAAACTCTTTGAGAACAGGCTATCCTTTCTATGTAGGTGACATTAAGGGACTGAATGAACTTACGTCTGGGCTCCTTGATGGGGAAGAAAATGAGGTATTGACCCATTTATCACTTATCTGGAAGTCTTTCTGGAGTGCGCAACACACTAGGAGGGAGGACCGCTCTGCCTCCCACCAGCGCCCAGCCAATGACTCTGATTTTATTCTCAGCCTTTAAAACCCCTCTCTTCAGAGATTTTGATGAATGAACTATCATGACCCCTAAATTGCACACGCAAAGCTTTATCTCCTACTGTAGGTGAAGAAAGGGAGCACAAGGACATCAAACGGCCTGTCCAAGGCTAAATGTGAGTCAGAAAAAGGACAGAAAAAAAAGCAAAAACATGCCAGGGATTTACCCGCAGGACCTCTCAACTTGTAACTCAAGCTACACTGACTCCTTCTGGAGTGCCTCACCCTAAAGGACTTGTCCAGTTTTTTTTTTTTTTTTGAGAGCCAAGTTCCAAAGGCTTATAAGTGAAGGCCAAGCCAACACTCAGAAAGACAGGTATCTAAATATCCCTAAAACAAACCCCGACAGCACTGAAAAGAAACCCATCATGCCCGTCTGCTCAGGCACCACTGTGGTGGCACTGATAAAGTTTTTGCCAGCCCTTCTCACTTTTGGTGGCAAGATATTAAAATGAAATCAACTTATTTGCCAGGCCAGGAACCCAAAACCAGATAATGCTATAGTTAAATTTTTCCCACTTTGGGCCAAGCTGAGACTCTGCACTATTTCAGGCAGGGAGATACAGAACACAGCGTTTCCCAGCACTATCACAGGGAGCGCTGAAGACTTTTCTAATCTGTCTCCCACTGCACTACACGCAGTTGTTGATTGCAGGGGTTGGGTCTTACCAGTCTTGGCAACGAGGCACATACAAGAAGCAGGGAACATGGTACTGGGACACCGCAATCAATAAACACTCAAACAAGTGACACCCCAGTCTTCTGCTGTCCCCCAAGACTCACTGTGCATGGAAATCCACAACCACTGGTGTGTCACTGTTGACAACTCGGTCTTGAAAGTCAGGTCCATCCTGGATGTTAAAGGTGGTTGCACAGACTCTGCTGGTGTATATTGACTGAGCTTGGCAGGATGTTACTGCCAGACCACCAGGACTGAGCTGTAGGGTCTGCAGGGTCCCAGAGGTGAGGGGTGCCCACCCACTCTGAGGGGGCTTCCGGGAGATGATGGAAGCCAGACACCTCCTCAGGAGAAGTCGCTGCGCCATCTGTGAGAGGAAGAGGCAGGAAAAGCTGGAGCAGAAAATCAATACTTCAGAAAAATAAAAGGGAGTACCTGGGGGCTCAAGAAAATGCAGGGCTGGAAGCAAACTGCAACAAAATAATATAAAAGATTTCTGGAGTAGAGGTGAGTGAAGAAGGACAAGCAAAGCGAAGAAGGAATCACAAACCAGGACAGGAATATTCGTTGACCATAAAGAAATCAGAATATAGGTGCCCTAACAACAGAAGGGAGAATCCAGTATCTACAGAGCAACCTGTTACGGGCCAAGTGCCTTACACACAGTCCAGTCCTCCCAGATCAACTCTGAGGGCGTTTCTATATTGTTCAGGTTACAGACAAGGAGCCCAGGCTGAGGTAAGTTGTGACAAGCCTCAAAGAACCCAACTATTAAATGAGAGCCACGTGGGAACCCAAGGCCGTCTGCAGAGCGCTTCCTCTGCCCATCACTCTTTCAAAGTGTTTTAATGGGGAGTTAAGAGGAAAGGGGGGTTGTTAAAGAATCATGAAGAAGCACCGCAACCATGCACGGAGGAACTAAGCGGCACAGGAACAGGAGCGTGGAGGGAACTAAAAAAAGAAGGGACGTGCGTGTGGAGGGACCAGGGGACTCGGACTCCACCAGCGACGGCGGCACCCCGCAGCACAGGCCCCCACCCCCGCCCGGCGCCTCCGCCCGCTAGGCCGCAGCCCCGCGAGCCCGCAACGTTCCTCGGCCCCGACACCACCTCGGGCCGTCCCCGCGGGCCGCCTACCTCCCTGCACCGCGAGCAGAGGGATGCTCAGCCCCGCCCTCCCCGCCCTTCAAGGGCACGGCTGTCGTCACTTCCTCAGGGGTGGGCCTGGCGTCACTTCCGGGACAGGCAACCTGGAGCGCGTCTCTGTGCAACTTGAGGGGAGGCTCGGATTTTCCGCCAATGGGGATGATGAGAGAAGGCATTCCGCTACTGGGGCGGGGATTCAACTACTGACTGGAAAGAAAGGGCCCTTGGGTGGGAGAGACCGGAAGAGGGGCCGGCGATGGGGGAGGGACCGGAAGACGGGCGGACTCCGGGGGAGTGACTAGAAGAGGGGAAGGGCCCTAGAGGCGGGACAGGAAGAGGGGCGGGCCCTGGAGGCGGGACCGGAAGGGGGTGGGTTCTAGAGGCGGGGCCGGAAGAGGCGGGAAGAGGCGGGAGCTGGCGGGATGGCGGGGTGCGGGGGGCGGAAGCCGCCGGCCTGTGCCGCCTTATAGGTGACCCGGCGCCGCCGGCCCTGGTCCTGCATTGCCTCCCAGAGACTCTTAGTGGTGCTGACAGGCTCTTTCCCTTCATTTTAAAAACGAGGCGCGTAATCTCGTGCCGTCTAGGGGCAAAAGACCGTGACGGGGAGTCCGGAGGCAGCTCCGCGGCCTCCAATGGCCGCAGGGCTGGACGGGGCGCGAGCGCGTCTCCGGAGTCGGGGACCTGGGCCCGGACAGGCGCCGAATGATGGTGATACCTGGGGCGCCTGCCTTGAGTGGGGTCTGTCAGCAACGAGGGGGCACCGGTGTGACCCCGCGGGTGTCGCAGTCACCCCGGTTCCCGCACCCTTCGTCCAGCCCCTCATGCGTCCGCGGGCGCCATCGAGGCCTGCTGCCTCCCGGCCTTTGTGGTCTTCAGAACGACCCTTCCTCTCTCCGCTGGGCAGAACGCCCCTCATCAGCCCTTTGGGCAGCGTGAATTGTTTCCTTCTCTAGAAAGTTGTTCATAACTTTTACTAGCTCAAGGCAGAGTCGCCTCGTCCACCAGGCCACGTGCTTGCTGAGAGTAGGGATTCGAGCTTTTCCCTCACCATATGCCCGGCATAACCTGGTGGGGCGCCTGGCTCATAGTGCTCAGTAGATGCTGACTCAGTGGCTGTCAGGGTGGCTACTGTCAGGTTCCTTGCCCAAGGGCACAAAGCAGGCAGGTAGACTGGCCGAGTTCTGTCGCCTCCATTTCAGTCTTCGCTCCAGCCAGTGGGAATTGCTTACAGTTCAAGATTTTGCATAAATGTCTCCCATCCTTTTGCTTTGTCGCGGCTCTTCCCTATGACTGGAAGGCTCCCCCTCTAGTCTCCATCTGAGAAAATGCTACCAGATGCCACATTAGGCATCATCCCCGGGAGCCTTTTGCTGAGCCTCCTTCAGGAGGGATAGGTGCCCTTCTCTGTGCACCTGTTACCACCACACTCAATGCTGTATCGTTATGTCTGTTTCTTTATTCCTGGCTCCTCACTGTATGCTCAGCTCCTGGGGGGCCATTTCTCTCCATTGCCTATCTCAGGACATAGGTACCGTGAACAGAAGGCAGGGATCCAAATTTAATTTTCTGACTCCAAGTCTGATTTCCCCTAAGACATTGCATGGTTCCGCTGGGCGTCTCCCAAATCATTGCCATGTTTCCCCAGATCATTTTGGCCACATCATTTGTCCTCTATCCAACTGGCAGATTCACTTCCTCTCCCCTGGTGGGCAAGGCACAGCCACAGCTGCACAGGGACCTTCCTCTGGGGTGCGGTAAGGAGATCCTTGGAATAGACCCGCATCCCCTGGCCACCAGCAGCCATGTCAGCCATCCACCTTAGAGACCCTTGACCACTGCACCCTATCTAACCTCCTGCTCTTACCTCTGCCCCTGCTGGGGACTGGAACCAACAGTGATGATCCACAAGGGGATCCCCAGTACCCCTGACTTCTGAGGTCAGCATCCCTTGGTGCAGCTGTTGCTGCTAATGCCAGATGGCATCTGGCAGGGATGAGCCTACTCTGCCCATTTTCATTCCTGTTTCTCAGTGTCTCTAACACATTCTCTTCCTGAACCACCCATTAATCCTATTCAGTGTTTCCACAGCAGTTTCTGGAAGGTCAATTTCCCTGCTTATTTCACATTCTGAATTCCAAAGGAGAACAAGTTCCGTTTATCCTTATTCCATAGTCACTTCATCTCTGTTGGCCTCAGACTTCTCATCTGAGCAATGGGCAGAAGGGAAGGATAGGTACAGGGCCTGGCATGATGTCTGCCCGGTGAATGAAGGCATCTCCTCCCCACCTGTGAGACAGAGAAGGTTGCACTCATGGCTGGCTGCAAAGGGAGCCTCAGCTGTGTGGAACTTGTCTGACGAGCCAGAGCAGGCCTGCCCTGGGTCTGCTGAGTCCTGAGGCAGGTCAGGGCATGGTAGGAGGGGGAGGACAGGATGCCAGGACTGGCAGCCTGAGCTCAGGTAAAGGTGCTGCCGTTACCTTTTCTTGAAAATTATTTTTTCAGCTATGGGATAAGAGCGCTCCGTAAGGTTGTGAACCAGTCAACAGTATCAGAAACATCAGCATATGCTGCATGTTGCGTGTTTTGGAAACATTTTTGGTGTTAGGTCCTCGGCTGTGATACAGGATGTATTTCTTACTGTGGGTCATGGTCAAAGGGTTCAAGGCCACCGACCCATAGAAAGGGTGCCAAACAGAAAACTATTTTAAGCATCCTACAGGCATTAACTCATTTAATCCTACAGCCGTATGAGGTTGGCATTATTACATCCCCATCTTACAAGTGGGGAAACTGAGGCATGGAGTGGTTATTTAGCCTGTTGGGGTCATGCAGACAATGGGAGGTGGAAGCTTAAAGGTGCTATTCTGCCCCTAGCAAGGATCTGATTTGACTCTAAAGCGCTGCCTCCTTACCCCTCAATAACTTGGTCCCAGAGACCAATCTGCTAACCTGGGAGTGCAGTGAGGGGCCCAGACCCAGGAGGGTGCAGCTGCAGAGGTCCCAGCTACAGCTGTACGCAGAGGTGCCCACCAGGTGGCGGTGTGGCTCTCACAGTCTCTGGACCAGGCTTGCTGGGCACAGCCTTTGAGGCCCGGCCCCTCAGATCTGCAGGCTGATCTCAGGGGACAGGTCTGCAGGACAGGTGTGTCCTGTGTCAGAGGATTTCATGGCTGGAGGGAGGTCCTTAAGAAACAGAGAGGTGGGCCACATTGCAACCTGATAGCTGTTTTCTGAGGTGGTGTTCTGAAGATATCTCTTTCTGTTTCAGTGGTAACTTTTGGGTTTTGTGGTTTGTTTTTTAACACTATCACAGAACAATTAGAACTGTGACTTTTGTTTTGCAGTTCAACAAACTGGCTTCATGCTCTACTGTCATTCGTGTTTGTTGTGTTTCCAGCAATTATACCACGGCCCCACACCCCTTTCGCAACAGAAAAGCGTGACCCTGGACTGGCAACATAGCCCCGAACTCATGGACAGATGAGCGCCCCCTCCTGGGAGGGCAGATCTGGTCATGATGGAGGCGGGGCCTATGGTTGCCTGGGGGGTTGCCTGCCTGGGTTCCTTCTAGACCCTGGCCAGGGTGGGAGACCCCGCCAGGTCTGGTCTGGTGGCTCAGATTCTGCTGGATGGGCCAAAGCCTGCAGCTGTGAGGACCTGGGGAAGAGAAAGCAAGAAGGTCCTTCCTCTTCCCCAAATTTCTTTGCCACCCTTACCCTTTGGCAGTTGTGGGGCAGGAAAAAAAGGCGTTTGAGGCCAGAATTGAAATTATTTGTTCCCCAGGAGCCCCCTGGCTCACTGGATGACCTTGGGTGAGTGGGCTGGACTTTCTGACCTTGTTCCCTTAGCTGTGCGAGGCTCTAACAGGGCTTCCTCTACAGAAGGGGGAGGAACTTTTGTAGCCTGAAATCAAGCACATCTGTGGTCGTTACCACACGCCTCACGACTAGATCAGCACTTTGCATATTTGAACTCATTTTATCCTCTCAGTAAGTGGAAGGCAATTTCACAGACAAGAGAAAGTGAGAGAGGTGAAACTTACCCTGGAACACGGATCAAGCAGGTGGCAGAACTGGGGCTCAAATCCAGGCCGACCAGCCCAAAGGTGTTCGCTTAACCACTCAGCTCCGCTGCGCCTTTAATATCTGTCAGTGAGCGTGAACGCGACCAAGCTCTACAGCTCGGGCCTTCGTGTGTTATCCCAGGCTTTATTTCACCCTTTTATCGAATCTGAAAGTAGGTGGTTCTTAGAGCCACGGTCAGCCAGCTGGCGGGGGCGGTGGCGTCGCTGTTCCGACCCGCGTCAGGTTTGATTAATTTGCTAGCGAGGCCCGCAGAACTCCAGAAACATTTAATTCATGTTCACTAGTTTATTACTAAGGAGAATTATTGTAAGTAGTAGATGAAGCTTGGAGGAAGAGGCAGCTGGAACAAGGCGTGCGGGAAGGGGCTCAGCGCATGCAGCGTGTCCGGGAGCCCCGCACGCCCTGAAACTCAGTGCTCACCAGCCCAGGAGCTCATCAGATCTAATTGTTCAAGAGAGTGTGTGTGGTTCTTTTTTTAAAAAAATAAAACAGAATTTCATTATTGAGGCATGACTGAGTAAATTACTAGCTATTCACAATTGAACTCAATCTCCAGTTCCCGCTTCCCCTTAGCTGGAGGTGGTGTGGGGCTGAAAGTTCCAGCCCTGCAATCACCCAATTGGTTTCCCTGGCAACCAGCCCCATCCATAAGGGCTTTCCAAAAGCCCCTCATTAACGTACACTCAGGTGTAGCTGCAGGGTTTGCTAAGAATAGCAAAAGACACCTTTT